TTTGAATGGTACCAAATTTTGACCTAATTTTTTCAGAAAGTTCAAACTTAAAATTCTCACTACTCAAGCAATATAAATGAAATCTATGGACATGTATAGTTTCAGGGCAATGATGTCTATATTTTATCTTCACAAATGTAAGCCTAACAATGCCTAAATAAAAAGATAGAAGTTCATAAAATGTACCTCAAAATTGGAAATCGTGAAATGAAAAGGAGCTTGATTCAAGGTGCTGCAATGATCAGGTTAGCTTCCTCAAGTTCCCAGGAAGCCAACGCAATGCTTACTTGATGCTGGGAGTGTTTGAATTATGCTAGAGAAGTCAAGGTGCAAGCTCTGTTTTTTGGTTATGGAAGTTGATGAAGATGATGTTACAGTCGTGTAACAGGGTGACAAATTGTTTATAGATGATGTTTAGGAACTTTTGGAAGTGAAAAGCCAAGAAACACACGAGTGGATTCTGAGTTTGGAGTTTTTGGTCAGAATGTGCAACAATGGAGGTTTGTTATACAGTTCTGAGTTTGTAAGAGTTTGAGGGCTTGTGCATTCGTGTCTTGGCTTGCAATAGACTTGTGCATATGTATGGAAAAGGTTGGAGATCAAATGTACTTAAGATTTATGAGTTCTAGCCTTTTGGCTTTATATCTTGCTTTTGAAGAAAAGTGAGAAGACAAATCTCAAAGTGTTGTACAAACATGTTCTGGGTTGAAAGAGGCCTTAGGCATATTGATTTTGGTTTATAGGGGTTGTGTATGTAGAAATAACAAGTGCAAGGCTCAAGAAGTTGACAATTGTAAAAGTGATGCTTTATCAAAATGGAAATTGCAACTTTGTGCCATAAATGGAAAATCATTTTGGGCAAAGCTTAAACCAAGTGGATAAGGGCTTAAAGAGTTGTGTAAACCATTAATTATGGAGTGACAAACAAGTTTGAGGCTTGCAAAGCAAAGATTATGCAGCCTAGCATAGATTTGGTTCATGTTCATCCTAAAAATCTGCCTTGTAAAATAAGAATGGAACCCTAACTTCTTGTCTTCAATTCTCCTTGCTCAAGTATGATCTTAGTGAGTTCTTGGATATTTTGGAAATATTGTAACATCCTCTACAACCTCTATGTTGGACATTTTTGAATATTCATCTTGAAACTATGTTAAAAATTTCCATGAAGTTAGGTCAAAATCCTGCCTAAACTAGGGCAAAATTTCACTAAGTTTTTTCAAGTTTCATGAACATGTCTTCCTAAAATCATAACTTGAAATCCATGCATTTATAGAAAAAGTTGTGTTCTACAATGTTTTAGATATTATTGAGATATACAACTTTCATGTTTGGAGTTTCCTTTGAATCATCTTGCATCATGGTGGAAATTTGGCTCAAAGCTATGAAAAAAAAGTGAATTTCCAACACTTAGAAAAATTTCTAAGTTTAGAAATTTTGACTTTTCAAAATGAAATCTTGACTTTTTGATTTCTTGATGAACAAGTTTCATATTTTGACATGTCTTGATGAATTGTGATCTTTGATACTTGATTTTGACCAAAAAGTCAAAGTTTGACTTTTCTGTGTACAATTGACTTTCCATCAGTTGACTGTAATTCAACTGTCAATCAATTGAACTTGAGAAATGTTTTGAGCCATGCCATTAGGTCAAAATGAAGCATTTGAATCCTTGAGATCATGGCTCAAACCAACAAGTCATTTGCTAGGTCACAAATCAGAAATTGCACCTTCTCAGTCAAAATCCTAATTTTGACCATTTTGCCCTTTTGATGATCTGATCAAATTTCTTGTGGAATTATGGTACAAACTTGATCAAATGACATATATGAGTTCATGATGTTGATATGGATAAAAAATTATGAAGTTTGACTGTAAATTGACCACAATTGACTTTTTCCCCATTACAGCTGATTTTAGGTCAACTGATCAATTGACTGAGCAAAAATGTGATCCAAGACTTGAAACTTTACATGAGCAATCTTGAGGGTCAAGAATGATCCATGAAAGTCATATGGGACATTAAAAGTCCATTTGTCCTTGTGCAAACTCAAACCCTAATTTTCAGTTATCAGTGCTTGAGGAGGTGTCTTGAGCTAATCAAAGCTTGTGCAGTATGGAATCCAAGGAGATCTTGTGAGAGATCACTTGATAAATGAGAGGGAAATTTTTTGGGTACAACAACCGCCAAATGTATGTTCTTCGAATCCATCAAATGTATGTTCTTCTAATGGGCCACTAAATGTATGTTCTTCGAATCCACCAATTGTATGTTCTTCGAATGGACCATATTCGTCTGAATGTACCACTCAAAGCTTGTGGATCGAAGTAAGCTTGCTCTTCTTCGATTTGTTAAAATATGCCAACCACTCCTTTTGATCAGTCATGTGGTTCGAACAGCCTGAACTAGATTTTGAATTTGACATAGTTATCTGCACACCTTTTTTTTATCTACTTTGCCCTTTCGACAATTTCCTCTTCTACCTAATGCTTGAAAGTCCAATATGATCCATTAAAACTATATGGGGAATTAAAAGTACAATTGTACTTGTGCAAACTTGAACTTTTTAAAATCCTTGTTAGAAATGTCTTGAGAAAAGAGAGGGAAAATTTTGGGGTACAACATATAACACGGGTAATGATTAAGGGAGAAGTTGTAAACAAGGGAGTTTAGCTTCGAATTGATACTATTTAGTGGATTTCCTTCCTGACTTGGTAGCCTCCAGATGTAGGTGTTGTTGTACACCGAACTGGGTTAACAATTCTGTGTGCTCATTTTACTTTTCAGCATCTTTATATTATGTGTATCTTGTTCATTGTGTTTGAGTCATATATCAGTGTTCTGACATCTCATAGGACATCTGATATCTGCATACTAGAATTTCAACATCATATTCTTCGCATTTGTGATTGCTTAATGCATAACTTCAAGTAAACACAAAATTATTGCAGTTGGTTTTATTGACAATAATCATTGAGTTCAGGTGAAATTGGGAGACAACTGACTGTAACCACACGCTTGCTCCTAAGCGTATTTGTTCATCTATAGAGGCTCTCACCCCACATGATCAGAACTTTAAAGCTACCTCAAAACACCACCGTACAAGACTTCCCACCGTCGTGGGCAACCCTAACCATAATATCATATTATAAACCTACTAAAGCCTATGAGTCTCCATGTCCTTGTAGAGGGAATACACACACATGTGTTTTTTTGACTAGTACAATAAAAGATCTTTTAGCCAAGACCAATATGAGTGAATCCAAAAGTCTCCAAACACCCACGACGTCAAATCTCAAATTGACAAACATGGAGTCAGATTATCTACATAGTCCTACCTACTACATGTTTGTTATGAGAGCATTATAATATGCCACAATTATAAAACATGGAATCAATTTTTTTGTCAACAAAGTCCGTCAATTTTTGGCCCAGCCTCTTGAGAGCCATTAGGTTCTAGTCAAAAGGACACTTAGGCATCTCGAGGGTAAACTTCATCATGGTTTACTTTTCACTCTAGCAAATCTAATCAAACCAATTCTTATTACAACTTTTTCTGATGCTAACTGGGGCTTTGACCCTGATGACTGAAAGTCAACATCCGGATCTTGTGTTTATCTAGGTCCAAATAAAGTTTCTTGATTGTCAACAAAATAAACTTTAGTAGCTAGGTCAAGCACTAACGCTGAATATAAAAGCCTGACCAATGTTGCAACAAAAGTTCTTTGGCTTGAGTCACTTCTTGTGGAGCTCAAAGTTGACACTCTCACACCTGTGAGATACTGTGACAATCAGAGTGCAATGTTTCTTTCACACAATCCAGTTCTACGTACCAAAACAAAGTATATGAAGTTGGACATTTTCTTCATAAAAGAAAAGGTCACCAATAAGACTTTTCATGTCAAACATATTCCAGCTACTCACCAATATGCCGATCTCTTGACCAAGCCTCTGTCTTCACTAAAATTTATATCTCTAAGAGATCAACTTAAAGTTGTAGACAAAATTGCACAAACTAGAGCTTCATGAAAGAAAACTCCATCGTTTGAGGGGAATATATTAAAGTGTATTAACCTTAGCTATAAGTAACAACAATTGCTTATTTGTATAAAATATACCAAGTGAATTGCATTAGAATAGAATAGAACTAGTAAGAAGGTTTGCATTGGAATAAAGCTAATAGGAAGGTTGTTATAATAATGTTGCAAAGTTGACACTGAGTATAAATTTCAAAGAGATCTCACATCGAAAGAAGAAGTTGAACCCATAATCTTTCTGTACGTGAATCAACTTCTTACCAACCGAATCAATATACATTCCGCATATAATAAGTTTCTTGAGTCTTCATCATTCGACATTTATATTATGTTTTGTTTTTAAAAAATAAAACAAAATATTAAATATGATCCAAACCATTAAATTGATCCAAAAGACGAGATTAAGGGAAAGACACCATTCCTTTCCCGCTCAAAAGTCAGCAAACCCTTTCCCTCTCTCCGTAACCTAAACAGGGGAAGATTATTGTCTTCCAGAGACACACCACTCTTCTTCTTCCTCTATCGCCACCTCCAGACTCTATAGGAGGCAAAATCATTCCTCTTCACCTCACCGCCTTCAGATATTTCAGGTATGTGTCCCAGAAATTTCGGAAAGCTCGTTCATATAAGTATCTAAGGTTTCTGAAAATGCTTACATATACTGCTTTCCTACGTTTTGTTTTAGGGTTTTTTCTCAAAATGACGAGCGTGTAGTATGTTATGTTCTGTATATCCATACAAGTTGATCCTCTACAAAACCCTAGTTTAATTTTCAATAATCTGTAGAAAACTATTGTGTACAAGTTGATCCTGTAGAAATTTTAACACTTCTATTCATAGGAAGCAACTGAATTATCATTTCATTTTTCATGCTGCAAACTCCCAAAGTCTTCTTGTTGAACGCCAGTCTTCATGTTTTCGCCGTTTCAGTGAACGTTTGTTCTCTCTCATTTCAAAGCTTCTCGATGGCACCGTCCAAGATTGTTGCGGAGTATGCGAAATCGAATCGTTCTATGTGCAAGACATGCTCCGAAGCCATACAATCCAAAACCCTAAGACTGGGATTGGTCTCAAGGGACATGAGGAGAAACATGGACATTACGAAATGGCACCACTTCACTTGCTTCCCTCTACCCTCCTCCAACTCTTCTCCTAACACCATTACCGGATTTTCCTCCTTGAAGGTGCTTTCCTTTTCAAACATTTTGCTTCAATTCAACTTTCTTTCTTTTCTCGAGTTTTTTGTTTATGTGGTTTTTGTTTATTTATTTCCAGAGCGGTGACCAGGAAGCTCTCACGAAGTTATTTGCTGGAAAGGACAAGTCTGAAGAGGTGAGAGTTCCATTTTCTGCTCAATGATTGAGTATTTTTGTAATTATATGAAATGAAAGTCTTCATTGATATTAATGTTGAAAAGGAAATGTGTTTGAAATTTAATTTTTGTAATTATATCAAAGTTTTGATTGATATTCTCAATCATGTATGTATCTGGAAACAATGTTGGTACAAGTCCTTTGGTTTTCTGATGATCTTTTTCTCTTTGTTCTTCATGATTATTGCTTGCACTAATGGGCATTTGGTTGTATGTTACACTTTTTTTCTTTTCGGGTAGGCTGGTGAAGCAACGGAAGACATACAAAACGAAAAGCAAGATACCGAAGAAAGTGGTTCAAAGAAAAGAAAAGTAAGCACATGCTTTATCAAAGAGTTTCTGAATTACTTATTGTTTATCTTGGGGTGAGATAGGTGGATTGTTTCTGCACCACGGTAAGGATATTTCTAAATTTTAGCCGAGATCTCCTATGTGAAGATCTTACGAAGACTGGAAACAATGATTTGAGAGCAAACATTTATTTTGGTCCCTGAAAATGGCTCATGCTGTCACATTAATCCCATAGTGAAACAAAACTGAAAAAAAATCCCTGAAATTGAATTTTGTCTGTCACACAATTCCATAACATTTTCCTACGTTATGTCGTTTGAAGTTCTGATGTAGCATGTTCACTGTCTTGTAGACTCTCGGATGTCTAACTATATGCCATCTCTGTTAGCGAAGAGTCAAAGACCAAACTGAAGTCAAGAGAGACCAAAATAAACATTGTTCAACCTTTTCTTTCACCCTCATTATCCACTCTCTTTGGCCTCCTCCCCCTAAAACCAGTGTTTACTCTCCTCTATCTCCCCTCTTCCCCCTACACTGATTTACAGAATCTTGCGGATATCATAGTAAGACTAATTCAACTTAGCAGTCCAGCATTTTGCAGAGTAGCATCAAAATACCAAAGACAACTCAATGCCTAATTCGCATCATCGCAACCACAACCAGTTCACATTTTCTATTCCTAAATCTAATGTACATGCTCTAATAAAGTTGGGCAAATACTAATAAACTAACAACCATTGCTTAATCTCACAAAAGTCCCTCACATCTGCAAATCACTTTTTTTCTTTCATTCTCAGAAAACATGGAAATGTAAGGAAAAAAAGCTAATAAATTTGAAAGAAAAAAAAGAGTTGTCATGGGGGATGCTTAGTGATTCTAGAAAATATAAAGCATGAAGCAAATTCCGGAAGATTCTTTGGATTACAGGGACATAAGATGTGGAGTTAGAGTAAAAGCAAGAGATTTTTTGAGACAAAGATGTGTATGTTAGAGAGAAAGGGGAGAATGAGTAATGAAGAGAGCATGTATAGGGGAGACAAAGCCAAAGTGGCAACATCAACACCCATTATAGCAGTACCTAACAAGGTAAGACAGAGGAAGAGGGGGTGTGTGACAGTGGCGGTGAGGAGAAAGAGGCTAGAGAGAAAGGAGGAGGATGAGAAGGAAAACACATTTTGGTTCATGGTGATTCAAATGACATATGGCAAGACATGCGGGAGCCAATATATTACATTAGTACTTAATGTGCCATATCACCACCAATGATGTTAAGTAGCATGACTGATAGTAGCGATTAACTTGACTGATGTAACTCAATTTGAAGGATTTGTTTTAGTTCCGTTTCATTTAGATTCTAATGTAACAATGTCTGTGACTGTAAGACTAAAATGAGTCGAATCCATCCGGGAAAGATGTAAACAGTTAAACCAGAAGCCGTGTATTGCTGGTTTATGTTATTTTCAAACTTCTATTTTCTCCTTCAAATGGCGTATTGGCAATTCTCTTTTATGCCTAATGCTTTTCTTATTCATATTTATTGCTTGCAGTTATCCACGTCTGAGGTTAATATCACCTTTTCCGTTTCTGATGTCAAGAGTACATACAAGGTGAGGTTTTTCCTCCTTTTTACTTTATCTGATATCTTGACATCTTTGAATTTTGATAATGAAAGCTTATCACATTTTTATGCTTTTAATTTTGTTAACCTTACTGATCAATCCTCACACATTTTACTTCACTTTCAATGAATTATCTTTTGATCCAGGATGCTACCCTTTTGCCTAAATGGAAGGCATTCCAGACAGTCATTTTTCTTGAAGGGGTGAGAATCTGAGAGTAGTAGCCTTGGTGTGTGTGTGTGTGTTTCCCCCAGCATGGTTGTACTGAAAGGGTGCAAGCTATTCAGTTAAAAATTTCAAGGAATATCCAAAAAATGCATACTTCTATTTACGGTTTACATGTTCCCCCTTGTTCTATGCTTTGATAATTTGCAGGATGATGGTTTGCAAGATTCAAGTAAAATCGCTGCATTTGATTTTGATGGGTGTCTTGCGAAAACTGCTGTGAATATGTATGTCTACATCTGAAGTCATACCTTTCTGATTATTAAATTAAATACTATTTGTTTGGATGTAAAGAGTAGTGTTAAAGGCTTCTGGTGAGGTTAAGTAGAGCTTGCACTGACAAGTTCTTAGAATGGATATATTATTATTATCGTTGTTGTCTTTGTTGTTATTATTGTTGTTATTATTATTATTATTGTTATTATTATTATTATTATTATTATTATTATTATTATTATTATTTATTATTATCTTGCACAAAGTTTCTGATTTTTGAGAAAATTATATTTTTCTTTCAGAACAGGTCCTAATGCTTGGTCCCTCATGTATCCCTTAATTCCTGATAAACTGCAAACCTTATACAACGATGGCTACAAACTGGTATGCCCCTTTTATCTATAAAATAGAGCTTATAATAGATTTTTGGCTGATCATAGAAATTCATGTTAGAACTGGTCTCTTTGTTAATAGAAATTACTGAATTAAAGACATTTATCGCTGAAAATACCCGGAAAACAACTTGTTTCACTGGGACAGAATGCAGATAGGTAGTTGCTAATTTAAGTTATACATAAACTAGAGTTAGAGAGCCTGCCTCCTCTCCCAACCTCCCAGACCCACTTCAAAACAACTGAGTACCCTTCTATTTCCGTTTATTCAACTACAACATGATTCTAGAATAGGTTGGATGCCGTGTTATCGAATATTGGCGGCGCTATGACGAATATCAATGGCGGTTTTTGGGCTGGGTGCAGTGGCAAATATCAGCCGATATTGCTGATTTTTCCGCCATAATCCCGCTATTACAATGCCACAAAGCAGCTAGCATGGCGGTGTTTTGGGTCTCCGCCATGGACCGTCATTGATAACACTGGTTGGCTGGCCTATTTGGCCTCTGCGCCTTACATAGCTTTTATTAACTGGCGGCCTACTAACAGTTTTCTATTGTAATCCTGCCTCATTCTTTCTAACTGAAATACTTTTTCCTATTTAATGGTGCTGCTAGTATGAAACTTAAGGTGTAGTATGCTCTGCTGTGGTGCTTGTTGTCAACTGCAGGTAATTTTCACCAATGAATCCAATATTGATCGTTGGAAGAATCAAAGACAAAAAGCCGTGGACTCAAAAATTGGACGGCTAAATCAGTTTATTGAGAAAGTGAAGGTCCCAATTCAGGTAAATTTGTTGGTAGTACAAATGTAGCTTGTATTAAAGCAGTATCAGTAACTATCGGGGATTAGTTATTATTGCCAGCTGTAAGTCAGTTAGACCTACCCCGTGCAGAGTTATTCAGTATCAGTTTAAGTCAATTAGATCTAACCTGTGCACAGGACTAGAGTCAGTTAGGGTTCTTCAAACTTAGAAGCTGTGTTTGAACTGACCCGAGTAACCAAAATTTGTCTATACAGGTTTTTATAGCTTGTGGGACAGGTGGTAAATCAGGCAAGGCTGGAACAAAGGAAGCTGATCCTTTTCGGAAACCAAAACCAGGAATGTGGCACCTTATGGAGAAACACTTCAACTCTGGCATTACCATTGATATGGATCAGTTAGGGTTTTCTTATATTTGATTGCTCAATTGATGTTTTATTTTGGATTCCTTTCTTAAATTTTATTTATAATAACATGAGATTTTATTCACAAAGGTTGAAAATGTAAAATTCATTCTCTATGCTGTAGATCATTTTATGTCGGTGATGCAGCTGGAAGAGAAAAAGATCACAGTGATGCTGATATTAAATTCGCAGAGGTAATTAAACTGTTTTAGCAATAAGGAAATAACTTATGATTTGAGCACCCATTTAAGAAATAGTCAGTTTTTATAGGTAAGTCATAATTAACCTTTGCAGGTTTTTATCTAACTCCGTCTGAAACTCTACGTTGTCTTAAGATGCAATTCTACATTTAACCTTTGCAGGTTTTTATTTAATTCATATATTTATTTTCAATGGTTGCAGGCTAATGGTTTGAAGTTTTATCTCCCTGAAGAGTACTTTGACGCATGAGCTTCTAATTTGGTCATTGGTTCATAGAAGGGCTTAGCTTTGTTTCGAAGTGACATTGCCAATTTTTGTCTAGATGTAGAAGAGTAATTAACTAGCGTTGTTGAAAAACTATTCACAATTCTACTTTTCTTTGTTGCGCTTTAGTTCTAATATTCTATGGTTGAATTGCTTCATCAACTATAACATATGGTTTAAATATGCATTTTATTGTAACTTATTTTGTTTTTAGGCGGTGTTTTTTTTTAATTGTTTTCAGTCACTGCTTGCCATTAGAAAGATAGAAACAGTAGAGAGAAAGGAAAGAGGAGGGAAAATTAGTTGTAAATGAATTTGTTATTTCAGAATTGTTCTTACACCTCGGTTAGAACAGAGTATCTATAATACAGCTATGCATGCAGTCTAAACTTATCAGTGTGCTTACAATATCTCTACTCAAACTTAGCTTCTATATGCTAGACTAATAATACTCTATTATTTTCCCCTCAAGAGCAAGGTCCTCCTTGTAGCAAGGAGACTTTGTCATTTTGTCATGCACCTGAAGTTTGGACCTGAGCTGCAAAAACTTTTGAGGAGAAAGAGGTTTGGTGAGTAGTTCAACATATGGATCAAAGAAAACATGTTGAACCAAAAGAGTTTTGCTTAACACTTTTTCCTAAGAAAAAAGATATCTAGCTCCATATATTTTGTCTTTGCATGGAGAATGGGGTTATGTGACATGGTAACAGTATTCAAGTTGTCACAGTACAACACAAGGGTGGTGAAAGGAACCTTAAAATTAGTTAGTAAAGATTGAATCCACAAGTACTCAGGTTGTCACAGTACAACACAAAGGTGGTAAAAGGAACTTTAAGATCAGTTAGTAAAGATTAAATCCACAGGATTTTAGAGGTCGAGTTAGCAAGAGCTCTGTACTCAACTTCAATATTTGATCTTGCCACTAAGGTTTACTTTTTGGACCACTAGGAAATCAGATTTGGGCCAAGGAAGATGCAGGAACTAGAGGTGGATCTCTTGTCATCAGGATCGGACCCCTAATTTGCATTAGAAAATCCTCTAATTGGCACATGAGCCTGAGTAGATGTAGGTTGAAGCAAGAGACCATGGTGCATGGTGCCTTTCAAGTATCTGAGAATTTTTTTCACAGTTGTTCAATGGCTATCCAGAGGGTTGGAGAGAAACTGACAAGCTTTATTGACAACAAAACTAATCTCAGGTCTTATAAGAGTAGCATATTGAAGGGTCCCAACTATAGATTTGTACAAGGAAGGCTCTTTAAACACATCTAGCTCATGTTTAGACAATTTTAAACTAGTAATCATAGGTGTAGGTAATGAAGGAAAATTGCGATCCAAAATGCAGAGGAAATTAAATTTTTTCCATTAGTGATCCTTACGAATGGGCATGGTCAGTGATAAAAATTATCACCTCTTGTGACAATTCATACCTTTGATGCTGTGATCACGAGCGATGATGAAGAACAACGCCTCTACTCAGTCCACACGAACAGATTGCTTTCGGTCACAATGCTAGCTGCTTACGGACGAAAACTTTGAGTGAGAGAGTGAGAAAATATGGCTAGGGTTCCAAGATTGAATTTTCATCAAGTGAAATGCTTCAGCACAAGGGCTCTATTTATAGAACCACTTGTGTGGGCTGCAAGCTAAAAGCCCAATTAAGCCTACGGACATCATACCTTATGATGTACCAATATCACTTAAGCGCGTGGTACCTTACCACATTCCGTATTTCACTTAAATGTATCGTGCCTTACTGTGTTCTACAATTCACTTAAGTGCATCATACCTTATGGTGTTCCTTATTTACTCTATCTCTTATCAACTCGTCCTTATGTGTGTGATCCTGTAGGTTTTTGCGACGTTGGCAATTATATTAAATCACACATTTAACATAATAAACAGTGAGCGGTATCTAGCAACACATCACTGCTATCCAAGTCACAAAAATATCATGTGATCTGACAAAATATTTCCGTGATAATACTTGTGTGTACAATTATCCTTTTGCCCTTATGTCTATATTGAACACAAGGCATAGACCGTGTCACCCTTGTCCAGTTCAATATTAGGCCCTTATACATTTATCCTGTTATACAGGATGAACAAATTCCATCTAGGTCATTCATGTCTCTCAGCATGCTCTGTGAAGTACTCATCAACTGTCTTTATGGTCATCCAGTTATGGATAACGTTTGATCAATAATAAAGTACTTAACTCTACATCTAGGATCCATAATGGTTTCAGGTCGAAGGGTGGTATACACCATTATCACCATGAGAATAACTTATGACACCTTGCATAATATTCTATGTAGTATTCTCATAGCGGGTCAAACCAGTATAAATATTACTCATAATATTCATACCTATGTCAAGACTTGATAACTCCTTATCCATGATCCATGAGATGTGATCATCAGTCTATCTACATAATAATCTGAATGCTTTAATATTATCTAACTTCACAATAAAGCTCGACTACATATACTTTAAGAATAGTGTCCTTATGTTTAATGTGATCTAATGATTAAACCACACTTAATATTTCATTAATCAGATAAACTATTTTAGGGACTTTATTATTTTAGAAAAGCAAACATAATAAAAAATGCCTTTTATTATTAATAAGTAATTCAATACAAGTACCAAAAGTATTGACCTCTAGGGCTTGCACCAACAAGTAATCCTTTTGATTCAGCCGTATTTGCCTTGGAGAGCAAATCCTTGATATATTTTGCTTGGGAGAGAAAGAGAGAGCCATTTGTGTGATGTATGGCCTTAATACTCAGAAAATACTTCAGTTTTTTAAGTTGTTTGAGAGCAAACTGAGAGTTCAATTTTTGAATAAGCTGGTGAATATGAGATTGGGAATTACCGGTGACAATAATGTCATCCACATAAACTAGCATGTAGATAGTGTAAGTGTAAGTGGTTAGAGTAAAGAGGGAGGGATTACACCTACATGAGACAAAAACAAATTCCCTAAGGGCAAGATGTAACCAATCAAACCAAGCCCTTGGAGCTTGTTTAAGCCCATAAATGACTTTATTTAGCTTGCATACCATATTAGATGTGTAATACGGTGGGAGAACTGACTTTTGGTTTTGCATTTTATCGTAAATGTTGCAGATATCAAGAGTCGCCACTGACTTTTCTTTTATTCAATAAAGGAAATGGTGAAAAGAATAAGAAAGATCTTTGAGAATTTTCTGAGTAAGGGGGGTAGGTTATGAAAAGGGAAGATATTAGGACCCTTTTCATCTGTAGTTATCTATGAGCTCTTAATCGCTAGCTCACTTTGAAAATGCTTTGTGTTTGTGTATGTTTGAAAATATTTTGAAAAATGCCTAAGTTCGGCAATTTTGTAATGATTCTCGTATCGTTGAGAATGCATACAAAATATTTGTTTTTGAAAATATTTCAGAAAGGTGTTTGTGTGAAAAGAGATGCTTTTGTGAGCAAGCGATTAAAAACTATCTACCTACTCAAAAAGTCTTTGTTCTTTTTCTCCTCCTTTAGATAGTTCTATCCTACCATTAGTTAGTAGGAAGCCCTATCATTGGATGTGTGAGGGACAAGCGCGGGTCATCGTGCAGTCATAAAAGCAACTCGTAGGGCGCTTTAGAAATTTTATCATAAGAGACTAAGATCGTTTACCGAGGCAGCATCGAAGGGTCATCGAGGGACTACGATCTTTTAACCGAGGGTCTTTTGCTAAAGCGTCCCACGTTCGAGGGGCATGACTGTATTTTCCGAAGGCAACAAGTAGAGTCACCCTAGAGGTGTGTGTGTGAAAAGTGCTTTTGATTTCAGTTAATTTTTATCTTTGATTAGACTTAGCTATTTGTTTGTTTTTAGTCATTCCATACAAGCCTATTAGCATACACCTAACAGTTATAAGGAAAGCAGTAAAGATAGAAAATAGATTTCCTACGCTATTACAATGCTTCGGGAAGGGGGATACAAAACCACAAAACGGGAAAAAAAAATAGTAAACCCTAGTTTAAGCTATTACAAACCATCAATAATTACATGATTATGAAATAAAACGAATGCAAAAATAAAAGAGCACGCATAGATTTGTATGAAGAAAATAATTGATGACTTATCTTAGTGGTTAATTGACTTTTTATTAAAACCTAAAATAAAATCCTAAATTAATTTCAATTGGAAAAAAAAGATTTAATGATAAACCTAAAAGAAACTAAATTCATTTTAATTAAAAAGGAATTAATTTAATGACCATTAAAAAAAATTAATCAAGTTAATTTGATTTTAAAAAAAGGTTAAGTTGATTTAATTATTTAATTAGAGAAAAAAATTAATTATTAAAAAAAGAAATTAAAATGAAATAAAAAAAAGAAATGGAGAGATGGGCCTGAAGAAGCAAGTTGGGGGGGGGGGGGGGTATAGCAAAGTAATCTGTTAGGCCCAAACGTGATAAGGCCCAAAATGTCTACACTGGATCCGGTGAGGACAGTTCCTTGAGCTTCACCATGAGGAGGACACATCTGAAGCGCTGGATCTGGATCTATTGAGATCTGATGGTTATGACATGAGGCACATGATGCGCATGCTAAGCCTGCATGTATTGAATCTATAAAAGAGAAAATGTGTAAAAAAGTCGCGAACGCCAGGATCAAACCCATGCCCTGGGACATATATGCCTTAATGCGCGCTCGCTTGTCATTGGGGTACAAACAAAATAATAAAAATATAATGTATAAACGAACATGATGACCAGATAATTGACAGAGTCCTAGCTCCGGTCGTCTTCTCCGGCGACCTGCACATCCTGAAACCTGCAAAAATTAAGTGTTAGTGATCCAAAACATCATGTCCCCCCTGTTGTACCCCAACTTTTCCCCCCAAGACCCCTTCACCATACCATATTGATTCAATCACAACAAGATCACATTAGGGCTTTTGGTTCTCGTTCTTATCTTTAGCTTTGCTCTTTGAAGAATCACCAAGCACCTTGAC